GGTCGTTTTGTTACATCCCATGTAGGCCATAAAGCCGGCCCACTAGCCTATAGTTCCTCACGTAGTTGGGAGGGGTTGAGAGAGTGGTTATTACCACAGCACTACATGTGCTTAGGCTTATTAATGTAAATTTTTAAATATACAAATGATTGCCCCACACTAAATAATATACTTGCCCCCGTTAAATTCTTTCTTTTGTTCTTTTTGTTCGGTTACTTTATTTGATCAAATGATTTATTTGTGATTGATTTTTTCCATCCAAATTTGATGGCCAAATGATCTACTTTCCTTTTTTCTTAAAACTATTTATACTAATTCATTAACTCTAGACATTTAGTCAATTAAATGTGCACATAAATCACCCATAATATTAACTTCTATGAAAATCTTAACCTATAACTAATATCTTTTCTTATAATTATGCAAAACTCACAAGATTTTAACTCTTAAGTCTTTTAAACGAATTGTAGCATATGATATCTTTTTTTCTTTCGTACGGCTAACTATTTTTGTAAGACACGTGGTAAGATGTTGTTACAAAAGTTAAAAATACTTTGCAACGATTTATCATATACATAAGCTTGTTTGACAAAATGTGGTAACCAATTATTAAAGACAAAAATTATCTTTTTTTTTGTAAACTTTTGTTATTGTTAAATATCTAGAAAAGTAATTTGAAAAAGCAAAGTTAAATACATAATGCATTTATAAGTACATATATTATTGAGATGGTGCCATATTTTTAAAAAGAATTTGATAGTAGTTTAGTTAAATCTTTTTGCCCCCACTTGAAATTATTTCTGGATCCGCGTGTTCTTCTTCTATGTTTTTTGTTTTGTCTCAGGTTAAGGTTCTCATATGAGGGGTTGGGTGAGAGAATCCTCATTGTAACAAACTTCTATTCGCTTTATAATGTACTGTGGAACAACAATTTTAACCGAGACGTATCTTAAGTTGCAATATGCAATGAGAAGAAACCTAGGTTGCATTGAAACTTCGTATAAGGTACGTTTTCCTTTTTGGAAACATAAATCCCTCGAAACGACGCTAACCGTCATGAAAACACGTTTTTCAAAAATTTTAATTTGGAAACGCGATAGAAACATTCGATTCTATTTTGAAACACGACAAAAACTTGATTTCAAAAAACGTAAATAGTTTGGAAACGTAGAAATATATTTGATATTTTTTTCAGTTACATTATGAAAAAATTGCTCCTACAAGAAACAAATTGTTCAAGAAACAAGATTGTTCCAACGAAGAGTACAACATCTGATATTTCCTCTTCTATTTATAAAACGTCTTGCTTAAAACTAGGTCACATGACAATATTGTCCTTTGAATTTATGAAACCAAACATCTCTTAGAAACTATGACTTTGAGGCCATGTTTCATGTGAAGTACCATTGAAGGAGCTTGCTCGATCTTGTGCCCTTCAGCGACCTTAATGTCATAGTTCTGTATGATCTCAATAGCAATTGTCTTCATCTGCAAGAAAGACAAATTCTTCCCCAAGCAATTTCTCGGACCAGAGTTAAACACGAAGAACTTGAAAGAAGGTACATGTTTTAAGCCTCCACTCTCAGAGATCCATCTCTCTGGTTTGAATTCAGATGCATCCTCTCCCCACACGGCTCTCATTCTCCCTAACGCGTAGACAGCGAATAAAATCTTCCAATTTGCGTCGACTTTGTGTCCACTTGGAAGCATATCTTGCTTTATTGGAGACTTTCGCTCAAACGGGACTGGAGCGTAGAGCCTTAATGATTCACACAATGCACCATGTAAATACACCATCTTGTTTAACATGTATGGATCTAGACTCTGGCCGGATCTTGGTAAATTTGTGTTGATCTCATCACGGATCTTGGTCACAGCTTCAGGGTTCTTTGAGAGAAGCCAGAAGAACCAAGTGAGAGTTGTGGCAAGGGCATCTCTTCCGGCAATCATGAAAGTCTTGATGGTGTCTTTGAGGAAGTTATCGTCTTTTGGGTTAATAAGCTCATACTTGGAAGTATCTAGTTTCATGTAGAAGCTTAATATATCCTCATCATGAGCTTCTTCTCCAATATTGGAGTGTTGACGACTTTGTATTACCTCTCTTTTTGCAGATATATATTCGGCACATAATCTGTCGAAAGCAGCATTAGCTTTTATCATCTTCTTCTCTACTCCGTGTCCAATCCAGTTTTACAGCTTCCACAAGATCATAGGCTTAACATGTCTGTACACTATCACTTCCTCAGCATCATCCATAGCTTTCGCATATTCACTCTCCGGCATCTCGATGGAAAGAGAATTAGAGTCTTGACCCGTTACCAGTGTAAGGGTTACATCGAATGCTAACCTCTGGAACACGCCTTGTAAATCAAAAGCCGTATTCGACTCTGCATAATGATCAAGAACTAGCACAAGCCTGTTCTTAATTTTACTCGTAAATGTCTTCAATGAAAACCTTTGAAATCCTTGTTGGCTAACCATAACCAGTGCGGATTTCCACAGTTCCTCCCAGAGTTTAGAGTCAGCACTGAAGATGCCTTCTCCAAGAAAATCAAAGATCTCTTTGAACTCCGATCCTTTGTCATAATTGGAGAAGTTGGTATTGAAAACGTGTTGAATGTTTGCAGGATCTGCAGTGACCAACATATTCATTCCAAAGAACCATGGGCCTTTTAACGCAAAAGTCAAGTTGGAGACCTCGAGAACCTCGGCGATGTAGTCATTAATCCTGTGAAACATGATGAGCACACCAGGAAGCATCCGGAGAACGGGCCAATTTCTGGGTAAGATTTGATGGGGTTTCTTGTAGATCAAGAAATGGAAGAAAATAAAGACAAGGAAAGCTATAAAGACTTCAAGTAAGCCTATGTAAGCCATGGTAGTAAAGGTTTGTTTTTCTTGGAAATTAACAAAGATGGAGAGACAAGAAACTTGGTTTTGCTTATTTTGGTATATTTATAGCTATTATGAACCATGCAGAGCTTAGAGATTTGTTTATAGTCCCGGCAATTATAGCACTCGTTTTTAATTTCCCAATCAAATATAGCATTTTTAGCATATTTTTTTTTGTCGTGGTTCCACTTTCTTTTTAGCCTTATCATTCGTTTTTCAAATTGGCTTTTCTTGAACCGCGTGACGGAGGCGATTCCAGAGTAAACACGTGCGGCCATGTGCCCATAATGACAAATTAATGTCACTCTCTGTCTCAAAATTATAAGAGGCCGCTGATAACTTCGTTTCACAAACTCAGAGAATGGCGGTCAGAGAAGGTTTATCGGATTGTCTAAAGAGACAAAACGTGTTGCTATTATGGATTGGTTCGTTAAACAG